GAGATTCTGTTAGGATTTGATTTGATTGAGTTAATGTACGTGTTTTGGGGAAAATACTGATTTGGTTTAGATTATTCCAAGTTACTCTATTTACATTGGTTTTTATTAGGACATATGTCCGTGCGTTGCAATGGGAGAGTTGTTTTTTTTTTGTAAGAAGCAATGGAAGAGATAATAGATGTGTCCACAAAAATGATCTCCACAGCGGTGCGATAGAACAAGGAGTTGTGGACTTCTCGCGGGTCATGTCTGCCCCGCGAGGTCTTGATAGTGGTAGGGTTAGTCAGCGTGGTGGCAACCATCCAACTCGTGTGTTTTTATCCTTTGGGTCTGCCTCTATCTCGGAGTTGTGTCTGCCTCCTCATTTGGTAGCTTATGCGACGACCTCCGAGGCACGGTTGCTTCGAGCACTCTCTCTTACAATGGCGTAACCTGATGGATTACTAATTGCGGCGCATAAATCCCGTTTCATTAGCATATTTAGTGCATAACCATACATCAATGTCCCTTTTTTATTAGGGTTTATTCTCTTTGATTATTTTAGCACTCATAATTTATTTATGTGAGCCAAACCAACATATTCTCTTTTATTGTCACTTGCAAGCTAGCACCGGCAATAATTTATGTAGTTCCTCCTTTTACTCATGATTCCCAGTATAAATTTCTTATTTTGATACAAACTTCTTATTTCTAGACAACTATGGACATACACAAACTAGTGGGGATTTACTATAAATTTCCAAGGCAATACTATTCTCATCATAATTACAAGATAGTTGAGTTGGTTTTGTCCATCGACACAATAGGAAATGCCCATAGTTCAATTCTCTCAGGGCTTAAATTTTTTTGTTGCTCTTCCATCTCACAGAAAAAAGGTGTGGGTAGGCCCAGTTCGTCCCACGCGAGGGACAAACAATTTTTTTGGAAACTATGAGTGGACGCAACAAAACCTATATGTACATTTAATAGTAGGGCCAGCCATTTTTATGTAACAAAGCCGCCCTAGCTCAGTTCGCATCCGCCTGAGGATGTGCATGCAACGTCGCAAGTTCTATTCCTTAGGTCCGCCAAATATTTTGGCTCTTCTGTGAGGATCAATGGGTCGGATGTAGATGACCCAATAGGGGAGTGCGCGTAAGGCCCAATACTGCATGTGCGACGGAGCAATTTTTTTCTTTTCCTTGGGCCTACTGCGTGAGGGCAACTATATGACGCTAGTTGCGTAAAATAGCGTGTGGGACGCACATCTGTTCGTGTGTGGGCCAGCACACTGCTAGCCACCAAGACAACTTGTGTTTGTAAGGCGCAAAAAATATATCCAGAAGTGTTGAAGGATCGAAATCATGCACTCAAAGACCAGACTACGTGTTGCTAGCCACTTGACAAATGAGTCCTACAAACCAATGGCCAACTTGAACCTCCAAGAACAAACTCCAATGTTAGATTGCAAACTTTTTTTTTTTGATTTTTTTAAATTGCCAAATATTCTTAGAAACATGAATAATCTTGAAAATCCCAAATAATTTTGTGAAATTCTTTAAATTTTTAGATATACATAGAAAATTTTGAAACATTCAAAAATCACAATTTTATTGGAAAACATGAACCTTTTTTAAAAACAGGAACTTTTTCTGAATCTGTGAACAATTTTTGAAAAAAGAAACATATTTTGAACATTCAGAACGGTTTTAGAAAATGTGTTTCTTTAAATTACGAAATTATTTTGAACTTGCGAACATATAACTAAAGCAAGAATATTTCTTGTATTTGGAACATTTTTGAAATGCAATATTTAAAAAAAATCTCAAACAAATTTGGAAAACACAAATAAAAAAGGGAAGATTTTATAATAATTTGAACCAATTTTGGAACGGGAACAAATGTTTTAAGTTCTGAACATTTTTCAAAACGGGATATTTTTTGGAACTTGGAACATTTTTCAAAAATTCGATTTATTCTGGAATTCTTTTTTTTTGAATTTTTGAATTTACACAAAAAAGGAAAAATAAAAATAAAATTGTAAGTAAAAAAATACAAAACAAACAGGAAAAGAAAAAGAGAACAAAACAGAAAAAGAAAAATTGAAACAGAACCCAGAAAAAAATGGTTCATCCAGCTTGGCTGCCTGTGCAAAGCTGCGACTATTTGACGCTCGATCAGGTAAACAGGATTTTTTTTCACCTGCGTGGGCATGAAATAAATGGGTTGGCTTTTAATAGAAAAACGGGAAAAAATATTTTCAATGGTGAACGGATGAAAAAAAAACAGAGAAACGCATCTTGCTTTATTAGTAGGTATAGATATAGATATAGATATAGATTTTGCACGACATTGGTTGAGATTATAAAAAAACAAAAAAAAGGTGGAAAGGGTTGTGGCGAGAAAAAACTCGGAGAAGGAGGCGAGGCAAACCTACTAACTCACCTTTAATATTAGAGCATCTCTAGCAAATCATGTAAAGGCGGTTAAACCTTGGTATTTACGGTACAAGCGGTAAAAAATGCATACCAATGTTTGTGATTCCATTCTCGTGATTGGTTCCTAGTTTCATTGGCTTTAAATCTTTTGTGTTTATGTTTGAAGCATTTTTAGGCAATTTTTTTGAAATTCGCTTCACACAGTCGACCATCTGCAATTTCCTTTAGTATCGTTGTTTCACACAACTTTCGTGTTATAATTTTTTCGTTTCTATAGTCGTAGACAAATAAATCTATATATTCCTCAATTTTGTGTTCAAGTTTGGAATTATTTTTGATGAATTTCATCAAATTCAACACACGTGGTCGATCCTTTGAAGTTTCATTTGACCACTAGCTTCATATCATTGTTTCACACAACTCTCATGTTGTAAGTTTTTTTTATGCTCATAGGCAAAGTTCTTTCAAGTGTGGTGGTGTGACGATGTTACGGCCATGGGGTGCCTCGCCTTACTCGAAGTCGACCCAGGTAGGCCAGGCTGGTCCCCTAGGTCAATTATGCCTTGGCCGATTAACCCGGACCATAGCCCTATGACAAAGTGGACCCGGAAGACTTGGAGTACACATCAAGACGATCGGCGTCTAGGAGGACACCTCCAAAGTGACTGGGATCATGTAAACCTAGACTCCGATACCCATATAAGTCGGGGCTAGGCTAGTTGTCAAGATACAAAACCTTAGAGCTATTGTCCGATCCCTCGATCATTTAAACCCCTATACACAAGCAATATACACGAGCAGGAGTAAAGTTTTACCTCTTTTATGAGGGCATGAACCTGCATAAATTCTTTCATGTTTCCATCTGATCTACTTCTCTCTCAGAGTACCTTATCGAGGGATCAACCAGAAAATATTTCGACATGATTTGAGGTAAGTTCACCATGTACACAAAAGAGCTGAGAGTAACCATCAGTGCGCAAGCAACCAAACACAACGATATGCACCAGCCAAGCCCAAAATCTCGAAACACGGACAACCAAACATTAAGAGGATATTGGTGCACTCATGTAGCATGGGACTTTGTGGGCAGCCTGTTTGCGGAACATGAACTAGATCCTCTAAGAGCCTACATTCCTCCCCACACCGGTTCCACTAGGCCACACATGCGAAAAAACACTCTAGCAACCAAACACATCAATAATACCTTCGTCCCAAGCCATCTGATCATATTTGTTGCATGGTGAAGCGTTACACATGGTTCAGCCGATTTGGAGGAATCGATTTGTTGAGCATATAGGGAGATCACTACGTCCCGGCTCATTCACAAACCAAACACTGGACCGAGCGGTGCCAGTGCAGAACTGAGCTGTAATGTTCTACTTCCTCTGTAACTTAATATCAGATGTTTTTCAACATTGACATGGACTCAGTTTTTTTAATCTGTAAAAAATGCTTTTTTATAAAACTTACAAAAGAAGTACCTCGTGCCTCAAACCAAACACACCCCGACAGAAAAATGTCCTTCTAAGATGAAAAAAAGAGATCATAGCAAAGAATCCCTACACGTATAAGAGCATCTATAACTAAACCCCTCATATCCATCTCAAACGCCCGGGCAGACCGTCCGGTTAGTGACCGATCACAAAAATGCGACCCAACCAGACCCCTCATATCCGTCTCAAACATTCGGACTGATCGGCACCCCTCATATCCATTTCAAATATGAGGACGATATGAGGGCCCGCGAACGCGCCCGGGCACGCCCGGTCAGTCCGCCACGTATGACGCGACCCCACCCGGATCACCTTTTCTTTTTCTTTATTCATTCTTTTCTTTCTCTATCTTCTTCTCCATCAATTACGTGCAAGTGACGGGACGTATGAAATCTTTTTGAGAAATGTGGCTGCACGGACAGAAAAGTAGGGGCTCAAAGCGGACACGTCCGGTCACTGACCGGCGCCTCCGCGTGTGTTTGAGGGCCCAAATTAGACGTACGTGGCTGAAGATGCTATGAGACCATCCACCCTTTTTTATTGAAGTGTGTGTCGATAGAAAACACGATCCAACACCAGTCCACTCTCCCCTCCCCTTCCTCACCGTGCACCCGAAATTCCTAGATCCGCTGTCGCGGTCAGACGACGAGCACACCCTTCTCTCCCTCGGCCGATCCGGCCCGTACGTCCCCGCATCCGACGGCCACCGACGCGTACAGCACAGTGCTCCACCCACCAACCCACCCGTCTCGCATCTGTACCCGCACCAACCGTCGCCCTCGGACCAACCCCATCTGGAGCCGCACCTTTCCCACCGCCGCCCCGCCGACAGGCTGGCCCCAGCGGCGGCAGGCGGGCCCGTCGCACCTATATATTCCCGGGCGACGCCGGCCCGTTTGTGGGCGAAAAGGAGAGGAGAGGGGGGAAAATAATCCAAGGCTCCGGGGCGGCGGCGCCCGATCCACACACGGCACATCTCGGGGCGCGCGGCGCACATCCACTCCCCTCCGTTCTCCACGAGTCTGCTCCCCCACCGCTAATAATAGCCGCTGCTACCCGGCGGGCGGGGCGGACACCCTCTGCCGCCGCCATGGGAGCGCTCGAGGAGGCGCACCTCGCCGCCTGCGGGTGCGGCGACGAGGAGGAGGAGGGGGAGGAGGATCTCCTGGCGGAGCTCGGCGGCGGGGAGGCGCCGGGGGACGCCATGGAGCCGGCGGTGCGCGCGCTGCTGGCGGGGCTCGGCGAGGACGACCGCCGGGAGGGGCTGCGCAGGACGCCCAAGCGCGTCGCCAAGGCCTTCCGCGACGGCACCCGAGGTATGGCGTCCACCCTTCCCCGCCACCTTACCCTTATCCCGTGGATCCGTTCGTGGCATATCGCGCATACTAGCGTTCGTCCCCTTTGTCGATCCTTGATTCGTGATCAGCTGCGCTCCAGAGCGACGCCGTGAGGAATTTGAGAGTGTTAACTCGGATCTCAGAGCGAGGGGTTTGGGTCGTCCAGGAATTTGTTCCCCGAATATTCCATTTCGTCAGTCTGACTCACCACTTCGCCTGAGGTTTAATTTAGGGCGGTAGTTTGCTGTGAGTGGTTTGTTCATCAGTCGTGATCGTTGCTGCTATAGTGTTGGTAGAGTGATCATTGCTGCTGTAGTGTTCCTCCGCTGGTAGAGTGATCATTACTGCTTTCTGTTGGTGGCCCATGCTTTAAAGTTTGGTGATTGTCACCTATCAGGCTCTGATGTGGGTGTAGTGTTCATTAACCAAACCACGCAGCAGGACTGTGCAAAATGGGCTTGATGGCTTGGATTGTGATGACCGCAATATCTCTTGGAAGTGTGAACTTGACACTTTAATTGCGACTTGGCAGTATGACTATAAAAGGCGGTGAAGTTGTCTCAGTGGACAACAGTTGGGAGCTCTGATGCAAACAGCGGGAAGTTTAAATTATACAGTTAATCGTTGTTGTTGTCGTTTAGTTAAGATACCACTTTGTCCTTGATGGTCAACACGCAGCACACGGCATTTGTGGAATTAAGAATTTCCTGAGGAATCTTGTGTAATTACTAATTAAGATTTCTAATGTCGGTGTCTAGCATTTGTCTTATACGATACTAAATAGTCTCTCATCATTTATTGGATTATATGTGCTTACTGCATAGTCTCATCACAAGCTGTGCCGTTCCCACAAACTCGTACAACACTAATTAATAATTATCAACTTAGGCCAATGATTTATTTACCAAAATGAAAACTTGAATAATGTTTGGATATTGTCCCCTGGATAGTTGCATACTAAACATTATGTCTTAGGACGCAAACACTTGGAAATTCAAATTCCAAAGTGAACCGTTCCATAGGTAACAGTTATGGGGTTTGTTTAGTACGATACTACTAAATAGTGAGGCTGGCCATTTATTGGACTGTTTGGAGGATATCTGCATAGTCTTGTAACAAGCTGCGGTTCTCCTACACACTCCTCGTACCAGTTATTGACATAGAAGTAAGATGGGCATTGGTTCATTTACCAAAATAGATAGTTGAATAATGTCGAGATATTCTCTGCTGGATTGTCACCATACCCATGGTGATCATAAGACAATTTTCTTCTTAAAGAGGCAGGCTTACTTGAATTATTTCCTAGTTAACGGAGTTCCAAGTAGTGTCTTTTTGTGACCAGCTGTCAGTTAATGTATCCTTCAAACATGGTTATACCCATGGTGAAAATAAGACAATTTTCTTCTTAAAGAGGCAGGCTTACTTGAATTATTTCCTAGTTAACGGAGTTCCAAGTAGTGTCTTTTTGTGACCAGCTGTCAGTTAAGGTATCCTTCAAGCGTGGTTCATACATATGTTTTAAGCTCCCCTTTTCAATAATTTAGCAGTTCATGAGTCTTTGGGGAATTTGGAAATGATAATCTCACCATGTTTTTTTAACTCTCTGGCTATCACCAGAAATTTATAGAACTTCAGGAATAATAATCTTCGTTTGCTTTCAACATTTCTCGGAAGACTGCATGCCAGTGGAGAAATGACAAAAAATTAGTTAATGAGTGTTTGGTAATCTAGATAAAGTCCATGAGCAACCAATTCCTTAACGACTCTGGCTATAGATGAAAAATCAAGAGACTCTTAGAAATATCTGTTAGCAATCTATCTTCTGTATTTATTTACTTTCAAGATTGTGTGCTTGTTTTATACCGCACTGAACCACCTATGTTAATCAAGAGACTCTTATTTATTTTTCTAGCTCTACCCTCCCCCCTGCGTGGGAACTTTTATCTTTTGATGCTCATATGTGAGCGGTTTTCTGGTACTATTGCTGGTAGGCTCTGTTGTAGATTCTTTTGCATTTTATAAACTCGTCATGGTATTAAGCTGTTGCCCCATGGCTGACGTATATCTATGTTTATATATTTTTCTTTGGGCCTTATTTGTATGGTCCAGCAGTCGGGCCCATACACGTAGTATTTGAACTGAACTCCAAGAGGATGGGCTGGGGTCCGTGTCCACCCCAGTCTGTTCAAATTAAGCCTTATTGTGCAATGTCTATTTTTAAGTGATGTTTAAGGTTGTTGCTTTTTGTATGAAATTTTTTTTTTAACACGTGACATACTTGCTTCTTGAGCCTTGTTTGATGCATACCTAAATGCTAAAACCACTCTTGCAGGTTACAGACAGAAAGTAAAAGACATTGTGCAGGGTGCTCTGTTTCCTGAGGTTGGTGTTGACAAAAGGACTGGTTCTGCTGGAGGAACTGGAGGGCAAGTTGTTGTTCGTGATATCGATCTTTATTCATACTGTGAGTCTTGCTTACTTCCGTTCAGCATACAATGCCATGTTGGATATGTGCCCTCCGGTGGAAGGGTTGTTGGGTTAAGCAAGCTTTCAAGAGTAGCTGACGTCTTTGCCAAGAGATTTCAAAACCCTCAGAGATTAGCTAATGAAGTTTGTGGTGCAGTGCATGCTAGCATACAACCTGCTGGTGTTGCTGTTGCTATGCAGTGCTGGCACATACCGTTGCCGGAGAACTTTAAATGCAAAAATTCGCGAGCTTTGATTAGAACTTCACATTCATCTCGCTCGGGAGTTTTTGAGGGTGAGAACAGCTCCTTCTGGAATGATTTTTTGGCTCTTCTTAAGCTTAGAGGCATAGACATGGAGATGGACAGCCATTCTGCTTCTTTAACTTGGTGCCCCTTAAGGCCTCATGAGGTTCCGCTTTGCAATGGGCACGCAAAGAGGATTACAACTAATGGTGCTAGCTCAGCAAAATCTGCATCCATTCCATCTAATATGGTTTCTGCTGTCAGCTCAATGCTCTTGTCTCTTGGTGAGGACCCCCTCAGGAAAGAACTTCTAGGCAGTCCTCAGCGTTACGTGCAATGGCTGATGAGGTTCAGAGCATGCAATCTTGATGTGAAGCTGAATGGTTTTACACTTAACAGTGCAAGTGTATATGAGAGACCAGGCGAAGATGCTACTGATCATCGAGCAATTAGTTCTGAGCTGCATTTGCCATTTTGCGCCCAGTGTGAGCACCACCTCCTGCCGTTCTACGGAGTAGTGCACATTGGTTACTTTGGCAGTGGAGATGGTGAAGGGATCAATCGCTCACATTTTCAGGCTCTGGTTCATTTCTATGGGTGCAAGCTTCAGGTCCAGGAAAGGATGACAAGACAGATAGCTGAAGCAGTTTATTCAGTCTCACATCGTGGAGCCATAGTTGTTGTAGAAGCAAACCATATCTGCATGATATCAAGGGGGATAGAGAAAATCAGAAGTAGTACAGCAACAGTTGCAGTTTTGGGTCAGTTTTCGACCGATTTTTCTGCCAAGGCATCCTTTTTACAGAACATCTTAGATACTGCTAATCAGGAAGTATGAGTGGCTTCAGATCATATACTGATAGAATCTCAGCCAAAAGATACAATGAGTCTAATCCTCAGTCATCTTTTCAGCAAGGCAGGCACTGCGACGACTATATATATGGTTTGAAGTTGTCATGCAGCTATGGCATGGTTGCCATTTTACCAGCCATTGCAGGCGGGAGCGACCAGGACCTCGTCACGTGGAATGTTGTGTCTGAAGAAGATTAACCAGAAGCACCAAAAAGTTTTGGTTCTCCTGTGTTGTACCATTTTCGTTTGAATGGCATGTCAAAGTTATCCAGCGTTGTAGGTGCGGCGGCTGTGCCGAGCAATACAGTATAAATGTTTTAAGTGGTTGTCTCATGTACTAGCAATTTTGGTATCATTCCAGCTTCTGTTCGTCCTGCGTGGCTGTTCGCTTTTCGGTTTGATGCAGAGTAACGCAGGGTACTCAAGCGTCTTGTTCTTGCGGAAGTCTGCATCCATAGCTTTGCTATCTTAAGAGCATCTCCAACAGGTGATGAAAAAGGTGGAGATGTATTTTTTTTTGCTTTCACAATTGCATACATATTTGAAATAAATCATGATATGATAATTATAACTCATGTCAAATGAATCTGAAACAAACAAAACAAAAATAGTACTTGTTTATAGTTCATCAATCGACAAGCTTAAATTCAACATAATTGTTCATCACACATAACACAAAGTTCATCATATGTGACATGAAGCACAACTAGTTTGGTTGCCCATTCCATGTCTACCATTCCATGAAATCTCTTTGAAGATCTTCGCGAGTATGCCAATCTCAAATCTTGTGAACTTGAAGAAAGCGTTGGATGCGGTCTTCCCTTCTAATTGGATGGACCACATTTCTCATGAATTCGTAGGAGTAATCTAAATTTTGGCCACGCTCATTTTCAGTAATCATGTTGTGCAAGATCAGTGCGACGGTCATGATGTACCAAAGTATTCCTTGATCTCGAAACCTAGCCGGTCTACGCCCAACAACAAATTGGGCTTGAAAAACCTCAAATGCCCTCTCCACATCCTTTCTAGCGGCTGCTTGAGCATTATGAAAGTGAAGTTCTTTCTTACCTTGGGGGCTTGAAATTGCCTTCACAAATGTTGTCCATTTCGGGTAAATCTCATCCGCTCCGTAGTAGTCCATGTTGTATGTGCGCCTGTTTGCTTGAACCTCAATTAGTTGTGCCTCCTCATCTACTAACCGTGCAAAGATTGGTGATCGGTGAAGCACATTGATGTTATTGGAAGATCTGGGCATCCCAAAATAGTAATGGCAAAACCATGACTCCTGATCGGCCACGACTTCAAGAATGATGGTGATAACTTTCGCATGGCCATTGAACTGACCATGCTATGCCATAGGGGAGTTCTTCCACTTTCAGTGCATGCAATTAATCGAGCCAAGCATACCTGGAAATTCATGTGCTTTGTTCACCTCCAAGAGCCGCTGACTGTCATGAGCAATGGGTGCTCTCAAATATTGTGGCCCAAAAACTTCAACAATCGCCTTTGCAAATTGCTTCACACACTTGAAGAAAGTGAGCTCCCATTGCCAAATGATCACCAACCAAATCGGCAGGAATACCATATGCCATCATGGGCAATGTGGAAGTCACCTTCTGGTAGTGTTGTGACCAAGATCTCCGGTACAATTCCTTCTCTGTTGGAAGAATCGATCATGTTCCTTCATACAGTTGGCAATATGGAGGAATAAATCTCTGTTATCTCTGTAAGTGTGTTTTGTTATCCAGTGGCGGAGCTTGCCAAAGTTGTTTGGGGGGAGGGGGCAAGTACAATATATGAGTCAGTGTGGGGGCCAAGAACACAAAAATTCACAATCTAAACTCTCCCTCAAAAATATTTGTGCATGCATGATTGCTTGTATCTACGTTGGTATTTTTTCGAAGAGGTGAGGATGATGCAACACAACAATGATAAGTATTTCCCTCAGTTATGAAACCAAGGTTATCAATCCAGTAGCAGAACCAAGCCACACTATATAAACAGTACCTGTACACAAATAACAAATACTTGCAACCCAACACGTTAGAGGGGTTGTCAACCTATCCTTGGTATTTAGATAGATTAAATTGTACGTGATTGGATAAATAGATCTAGCAAAAACACGAAATAAAATAAATAAAGAAAAAGTGCAGCAAGGTATTTTTGGTTTTTTTGGAATAATAGACCTGAAAACAATATGATAGAAAATAAACCCGGGGGCCGTAGATTTCACTAGTGGCTTCTCTCGAGAAAAGAGCATATGGTGGGTAAACAGATCATTGTTGGGCAGTTGATAGAAAAGCAAATAATTATGACGATATCCAAGGCGGAATTGCCTCACATACAATGAAAATTGGTCCGATTTGGTACGATAGTGCAATCCACCATGAACCCACCTTGAGCCAGCGTTGATCAACGGTGGCCTTGCTACTTCGTACAGAAATCATACAAATACTGTCGTACGTGTAGCAACGCTCTATCCAAGGCAATGATTATGTATACAGGCATCACATCCAAGATTAATAGACCGAAACGATTCTGCATCTACTACTTACTCCACACATCGACCGCCATCCAACATGCATCTAGTGTATTAAGTTTATGGAGAAATGAAGTAATGCAATAAGAACGATGAAATGATGTAGACAAGATCTATTCATGTAGGAATAGACCCCATCTTTTTATCCTTAATGGCAACGATACGTGCGTGTCACTTCTCCTTCTATCACTGAGATTGAGCACCGCAAGATCGAACCCATCACAAAGCACCTCTTTCCATTGCAAGAAAAATCAATAGTTGGCCAAACCAAACCAAAGTTTCAGAGAAGAAATACGAGGCTATAATAATCATGCATATAAGAGATCAAAGAAGACTCAAATAATATTCATAGATAGATCTGATCATAAACTCACAATTTATGGGATCCCAACAAACACACCATAAAAAGTCATTACATCAAATAGATCTCCAAAAACATTGAGGAGAGCATTGTATTGAGAATCAAAAAGAGAGAAGAAGCCATCTAGCTACTGCCTACGGACCCGTAGTCTGGAATTGGATCTCGTGGTCCTGGAACTTGCGGCGGCTGGAATTGTGTTTCATGGACTACCCTAGGATTTCTGTTATATTTGGGTATTTATAGAGCTGAGAGGCGGTGGAAAGGACTCCCGTGGGCCCCACTACCCACCAGGGCGCGCTAGGGCCTCTGGCGCGCCCTGGTGCCTTGTGGGCCACACAAGCCTCTGAAGGAAATATGCCCTAGAGGCAATAATAAAGTTGTTATTTATATTTTCTTATATCATATAAATGTTTATTATTCATGCTAGAATTGTATTAACCGGAAACTTATTACATGTGTGAATACATAGACAAATAGAGTGTCACTAGTTTGCCTCTACTTGACTAGCTCGTTAAATCAATGATGGTTATGTTTCCTAACCATAGACATGAGTTGTCATTTGATTAATGGGATCACATCATTAGAGAATGATGTGATTGACTTGACCCATCCGTTAGCTTAGCACGATGATCGTTTAGTTTGTTGTTATTGCTTTCTCCATAACTATACATGTTCCTATGACTATGAGACCATGCAACTCCCGAATACCAGAGGAACACTTTGTGTGCTACCAAACGTCACAACGTAACTGGGTGATTATAAATGTGCTCTACAGGTGTCTCCGATGGTGTTTGTTGAGTTGGCATGGATAAAGATTAGGATTTGTCACTCCGATTGTCGGAGAGGTATCTCTGGGCCCTCTCGGTAATGTACATCACTATAAGCCTTGCAAGCAATGCAACTAATGAGTTAGTTACGGGATGTAGCATTACGGAACGAGTAAAGAGACTTGCCGGTAACGAGATTGAACTAGGTATTGAGATACCGATGATCGAATCTCGGGCAAGTAACATACCGATGACAAAGGGAACAACGTATACTGTTATGCGGTTTGACCGATAAAGATCTTCGTAGAATATGTAGGAACCAATATGAGCATCCAGGTTCCGCTATTGGTTATTGACCGGAGACATGTCTCGGTCATGTCCACATAGTTCTCGAACCCGTAGGGTCCGCACGCTTAATGTTCAATGACGATCGATATTACGAGTTTATGTGTTTTGATGCACTGAAGGTAGTTCAGAGTCCCGGATTTGATCACGGACATGACGATGAGTCTCGAAATGGTCGAGATGTAAATATCGATATATTGGAAGCCTATGTTTGGACATCGGAATGGTCCTGGGTGAAAACGGGAGTATACCGGAGCACCGTGAAGTTATCGGAACCCCCCGGGAGGTATATGGGCTTATTGGGCCTTAGTGGAAGAGATGGGAAAGAAGCAAAGGAGGGGGCGCCCCCCAAGCCCAATCCAAATTGGGAGGGGGCCGGCCCCACCTTTCTTGTTGGGGAACGTAGTAATTTCAAAAAAATTCCTACACACACACATGATCATGGTGATGCATAGCAACGAGAGGAGAGAGTGTTGTCCACGTACCCTCGTAGACCGAAAGCGGAAGCGTTAGCACAACGCGGTTGATGTAGTCGTACGTCTTCACGATCCGACCGATCAAGCACCGAACGCACGACACCTCCGAGTTCTACACACGTTCAACTCGATTACGTCCCTTGAACTCCGATCCAGCCGAGCTTTGAGGGAGAGTTCCGTCAGCACGACGGCGTGGTGACGATGATGATGTTCTACCGACGGAGGGCTTCGCCTAATCACCACTATGATATGACCGAGGTGGATTATGGTGGAGGGGGGCACCGCACACGGCTAAAAGATCTAAGAGATCAATTGTTGTGTCTATGGGGTGCCCCCTCCGTATATAAAGGGGGAGGAGGAGGGGGCCGGCCAAGAGGAGGAGGCGCGCCCAAGGGGGGGGGGGCAATCCTACTCCAAGTAGGTTTTGCCCCCCTTTCCTATTCCAACTAGGAGAAGGGGGAAGGAGGAGGTGGAGAGAAGGAAGGAGAAGGGGGGCCGCCACCCCCTCCCCTTTCCCAATTCGGATTGGGGCAAGGGGGGCCGCGCGCCACCTCCTGCTGCCTCTCCTCTTCCACCACTTTGGGCCCATGAGGCCAAATAACCCCCTGGTACTCCGGTATATATCCGATAACCCCCAGAACTATTCCGGTGTCTGAATATAGTCGTCCAATATATCAATCTTCATGTCTCGACCATTTCG